GCTGGGAAGCTATCATTGCGTCTGGTAGGAGAAGCCTATTTACAGTCGCTCCCTGTGGGCTGCCAGGCTCCTAGCAGAGCAGTTCGCACCAGATGGTCCCTGCGGCATCCTGGAGACATCTCCTCCAGATTCCTGGCTAAGAGGAGGCTCCTGCAAATCTCCAGCTTGGATTCATGCTGACCCTGGTGTAGTCAAACAAGAGCATCAGCCGTTATGACAGACTGTGCCCGACGTGAGATCCTTCAGCATCCCCGAGCGGCAGAAAGCGCCAAGTGCTCCCACCAGTATTATCTATAGCTCGCTCAGGATATACGCATGTTTTTTCAGGATGCCTCATCATAGCCCTTTGCAAAGTCTCTCGTTAATTTTGGGCGCAGTGCCTGGAATTTGGTGAGCTCCATGCAGAAGCCCTGACCGTGCAGATGTGCCCTTGCAGCCAGCGATGGAACCCGGGCATTTACTCTAAAGGCACGACCCAGATCTGAGTGCCAAGGCTGTAGGAAGATGGTTGGGCCCTGTTGCTATTTGGTGGGTCAGAGCTGCTCACGTATCAGCCTTTGAAGATCTGGAGGAGGAAGGAGCAAACTGCATTGGCCCTTTCCCAGCCATGCTCTGCCAGCAAAGCAGCCACCAGTGACATTAATGGGTGGGAGAGAAACCCTGTCTGATGCCACATGACGTGCTGAGCAGGTTAGAGAGACCAGAGCAGTGCTCCAGCATGTCCCACCGCTGAAACACAGCTCCCGAGAGCTGGAGGTGAAGCAGCAATTCCAGCAATGGTGCTGTTGGTGCAGCTCAGAGCTGCCCAGAGCACCTCCTGCCCAGCTTCTGTTGTCCTCGGCAAGCCACTGAGTTGGGCATAAAGAGCTGGAATTTTCCTCTGAGGAGAAGTGACCTTCAGCTGAGGTGACTCAGAGCCTGCTGTTGGGATTAGCAGTGAGGGAGGTTTAACAGCAAGAAGCTTTTGTCCTGCTGTGAGGCTTTCGGTCTGTAAGTGCAGCTGCGCTGAGCGTTGTGCAGCCTCGTGATGCCTTTAGGAGGGCTACAGGAGCTGATGTCTGCACAAAAGGATCTGGAGCAAGCAGCCATGCTGCAGGACACGTGGTCTCCCACAGGAGCCCACTGCTGGCTCCAGGGTTTTTCTAAAGTAATGTCCCAAGTGCTCTGAGCTGTAGAAGATGAACTCAGCACCTTGAGTAGATGGCTGCAAGGGCACCAAGGCAAGATCCGTGCCTGGCAGAGATGGTAGGGAGTCAACAGGTCAGGGCTGGGAGAGACATAGGTTAAAAAAGAGGAGGGTGAATCCTGAGGTCCAAGAAATGTAGTTGGGGTGTCAAAAATACAAGACACCAAGAGTGCTGTGGGTGGTGGGCATCTGGAGCGCAGTGGTGGGAACAAAGAAGGCTGGGACAGGCAGGTGCAGTGCTGCTTGAGCTTCTGTCTCTCCGGGACTCTCTGGCAGGAGTGTCTGGAGAGCCCCATCCATGGGCCAGGAGACTAGTGCTTGCCTGTGACCCGAGTGACTTGTGAGAACATCTTCCTCCCATCCCAATCTCTCCTGTGTGCTCATCGCCAGCTTCATCTTTCCTACGCCTGGAGCTGTGTGGTCCCCTTTCCCCCTGAGGCATGTTTCTCCTTTCTTGTTTGCAGGTTGCCTATGGGACCACAGAAAACAGCCCTGTCACCTTCATGGGACTCCCCAGTGACACCATCACCAGAAGAATCGAGACAGTGGGATGCATCTTGCCACACACAGAGGTGACCGTGACCCTCCCCACCTGCTCCGGGTTCTCTGCCTGCAGCAGAGCTCAGCCCCTCCTCCCTGTCTGGTGCTGGAGCTGGCGCATGCTGTTTGGGTCAGACATCCCCTCCTAAGCCCTCCTTCTCTTCCAATGCAGGCAAAAATTGAGGATCCAGAAACAGGGAAGCCTGTGCCTCTCAACACTCCTGGGGAGCTTCAGATCCGTGGCTACTGTGTCATGCTGGGCTACTGGGATGACCCTGCCAAGACGAGTGAAGTGATCACTGCTGAGAAGTGGTACAAGACGGGGTGAGTTTGGAAACAGCCCTGCTTCTCCCGGTCTGTCCTGCAGGGTGAGGCTGGATGGGGATGGGTGTGTACGGGAGTGCCTTGGCTGCAATTTCCAAACTAGGGAAAACTGACCCAATGTAGCCCTCTGGTTTGTCTGTGAAACTCCAGTACAGCCTTTAGCAGAGATCTCTCCATGCCAGGTGCCCCTGGAGATGGGGATAGTCTGTTACAGGTGTGATGGAGGGGCTGTGGGGTACACTGCAGGGGCAGGAGTTGCCTCCCCTGAGACCTAATGCTTGTCTGGACGCTGCCAATGGCCATGTCTGGCTGTAGCAGGAGGTTCTTGATCTCTTCCATATATTCAGGTGGCATCTCAGCCGTTACCCTCCAGATCCCCTGACCTGGCATCCAGACCAGGCTGGGTGGGAGCATCGGCTGGGACAGGACGAGGAGTGTGATGTCGTTGCAGGGACCTTGCGAGCCTGGATGAGCATGGCTACTGCAAAATTGTAGGCCGTTGCAAGGACATGATTATTAGGGGAGGAGAGAACATCTACCCAGCAGAACTTGAGCAGTTTCTCCACACCCATCCCAAGGTTGAGGAGGTCCAGGTGAGCAGGAGAGAGGTGGGGTGGGTGAGCAACGATGGTTCCTGTGGTGGGAATCCTGTAAAGCTGCTGGGACTGCTGCTTGGGACCTGGCTGTCTTCCCCTGCTTTCAAGCATCAGCTTCTGTGTAATACTGGTTGGCAAGCGGGAGGGAGAGGCTCGTGGTGTGGAAGGGGCAGGTAGAGTTCCTGGCACGGAGCACATCGGCTTGGGCAATCCCCTCCTGCACCAGCTTCACGTCTGCAAAGTAGTGACTGTCATTCCTTTTCAGGTTTTAGCCTGCCTGTCCACTTTCATAGCTCCCTCTGAAATCCTTACTTGGAAAGCAGTCTGGAAGGACAGTTTTTACTGATAATTAATTACTAAACTTCTAAATCCAAAAAGACTCCTCCAACAAGTCCCTGGAGATGAGGAGTGAGACTTAGTTTCACCCCTTTGCAAGACAGCAATGATTTGCAGCATTGAGCAGCTGCTCCCAATCTGCTAGGATTGTTCTCCTCCAGGTTTCGTGCCAGACAAGTTTCCCCATAAATAAACCAGTTATTTAGTCAGTGTTGCGCCTGTGCCAGGCTAGCATCTCTCCTTGGAACAGTCCCAGTGCAGATGGGTTGCAAACCAGCCCTGTTTATGTAGTTTCTAGGGCTTTATGTCACTGCTCTGGACTCAAAAGGATCAACGTGTCTCTAGGATTTTGAGATACCAGTTCAAGGCGGGGAATAACAGTAGGATTCTTGTGAAATAGCATGAGCAAACTTTAGAGAGAGATCAGGCCTGGGAAGCCCCTCTCCCGGTGTCACAGGCAGTGATCCATTAAGATCTGTGATTATAAGGGTTCCAAATAACCCTTTAATTTTACTTCATCCCTCTCCTGCCATTTCATCTGGAGATCCCAAAGCACTTGCAGCAGCCTTACAGGTCTCCCTGTTGGTTGTGAAACCTGTTGTCCTATTTTGGGGGGAAGCAGAAGCACACAGAGGGATGACAGGTCCATGTTGCACTCACAATGAGCTGGTCCCTGGCTGGTTGGACTCAGCCCTTGCTCCAGTGACTGCAAAACCAAAGGAGGGTGCTGGCGTCTGGGCACCCAGGCTGCTCTGCCACCTTTCCTCTGGCAGATGGTCGGGATGTCCTTCCAGGAGGGCTTGATGTCATGTAGAAAGCACTGTGGGATGGTCAGGCAGCTCCAACTGCCTTTACACAGCCCCATGTCACGACTCCAGCATCCCATGATATGGGTCAGGGCTCGCACTGTGGGCCAGCACACATACCCTGTGGGAGGAGAGGGATGTCCTGGGGGGTCACACCATCCATCTGTCCCAACTAGGTGGTTGGTGTGAAGGATTCACGGATGGGAGAAGAGATCTGCGCCTGCATCCGAGTGAGGGCTGAGCAGGACTGCACCGAAGAAGAGATTAAAGCTTTCTGCAAAGGGAAGGTGGGTCTCCCAGTCCTCAGTTTTCTGCCAGACCAGTATGCCCAGCAGCTGCTGGGCACTTGCAGATGGAAGTCCAGGGATTTAGAGCAACTGGGGCTCCAGCCCTGGCAGTCCTGGCTTGGGTAGCACCAGCTGGGCCAGCTACTGTTCCTGGCAGGCTGTGTACTAGTTGATTTTCTCTTCCCAGATCTCCCATTTCAAGATCCCGCGGTATGTTGTGTTTGTGAGTCAGTACCCGCTCACCGTCTCAGGCAAGGTAAGAGGGGCTGGGGCAGGGCAGGAGCCCTGGCCTCCTGTCCCATCTCCTGTCTGAGTCCCTCTTCCTCCTCCTCTCTGCACTTTATTCCAGATTCAGAAATACAAGTTAAGGGAGCAGATGGAGAAGCACCTTCAGTGCTGAGCTCAGGAAGGCAGAGCAGAAAATGGGATAAATCAGCCCTGCTTTAACTTTTCACCTGTGCCTTGGGCTGCGCAGCTGGAGACCTCCTCTCCCTGACATCAGGCTGATGGCCCTTTTAGTTAATAAAACAGAGCACCTTTTTTTCCCAGTTGGGTTTGTTTCTTTGCCAACAGAAATACTGTGGCGTAAGGAAGGGATGCTTATTTCTGGAATTCTGTCCGGTTACTGAAAGACCTTATGAAGGTTTTAAAATCTTGCGTCTCTTTGAGCAATTTGGCTGCAGCCATTTCAGAGGACTTGATGCTGGGAGGTATTTTACTGATATTTAAAGTCATCACAGCCTGGCCTGGCTTCCCAAGGTAGGTGAATGCTTTCTCTGCTTGGGTGCTCCTAGGTCATATAACACAGCTGAGGAACATGAAATGAGGGGTGGGGGCTTTAGAGAGTGAGACTTTGGATAGGAAGGGGCTCCCTAAAGCTGGCTGGAAAAGCTCAACCTGTTCCCATGCCTCCCCTGGCCCTCCTGGTCCCCAAGAAACTTCTCCGAGGTAGACTTGGCATTGTTTATTTTGTTGGCTTTGGACAAGACAGACAGTAAAGATTTGCAGAAATACCAAAATTCCTGTCCCATCGGCAGCATTAAGCAGAGCATCGCCGGGACAGCATTTTACGGGAGTTATTTGGTACCTCCCAACCATGATACACTACTCTGAGAAGGGGAAGAGCAGAGCTCCTCTCCTTGCTGACAGAAGTGTCCCACCCCAGCCAGGAAGCGGGTAACGTTGCTGCCAACTCTCGCCGACCTCCCGGCATCTGCTTCCTTCCCAAGCAGGGCTGGCACCGGGGCCTCCACCTCCACCCTGGGGCTTCCTCCGGCAGGCGGGGGGAAACGGTGCAATGGGGAGAAAGGTGAAGCGTCAGCGAGGTCTCAATCCTGGATCTCCCAGCTGGACTGGTCTCTACCCATGGAAGCAGACAAAGTGGACAAGAAGCCCACTGTTGGTGCCTGCTTTCTGGAAGAAAAAAAATAAGTGGGATGGTTTGTGTCAGACCCTTTCTGTATGGTGTCTCTCCAGCAAGTTCCTCCAGCTCATGGGACTGGTTTCACCAGCTTCACCTCTGCCCACTCTGGGGTAAGGGGGATGCGTGCAAGCAAAACTCAGGTCTCCTTCCCTCCCTGTCCTGGTTTTAGGACCCTTCTAAACCTCCCCTCCTGGAGAGGGAACTGTTACACACGTTACAGCAGCTGCAACCCCGAGGATGGACGCAGCAGACCTGCAGATCTGGTGTCTAGGGAGGGATTTTTTACCTTCCTTTGCTTCCCCCAGCACTCACCCTGGTGCAGGACAGGCCTGCAGCGAGAGGAGCTTCTCCGCGGGTTCCTGCCTGCTACCTCCACCCTTTGCACAACCCCTGTGCTGCCCGGAGTGTACTCACCGTAATTGGGGGACGGCTGGTAAGAAATGGAGTCAGCTGTGCCTTGCGGGGGTAGACACCCTGCCGAGAAACACAGCGAGCAGGAGTCACAGCCAGCACAACGGGCTACAGGCCCCCGCTGCCCCATTCCGGCTCCCTGAGCCCTCTGCTGCCCCACCCGGGCAGAGCCGGGGTGCCCGGGAAGCTTTCCCCCCCTCATCGGCCACGGCACCTCCCGAGACATCCCATGGCCACCCCCGCCCCGCGGGACGATGCAGCCCCGGCTGCAAATACTCACGAAAAAGGAAGGGCCAACGACGCTCCTGGCCGGCAGCATGGCCTCGGCGTGTGCGGGGCTGCGCGCAGGCTCCGCGGCTTCTGCCCTCCCCGGTACCCGCGTCCTGCTCTTATAGCCCTCGGTGCCGCCGGGAAATCCCGGCAGCGGGGGCTCTTCCCCGGGTGGAAGGGTTGAGTCAGGGGTGGGTTACTCTGAACTACCGGCTCTTGGCCCGGAAACAGGAATCTGCAGCCACAGGCTTTGTCGTAGCTATTTCTCACTTCTCCACGGCTATTAATAGAGCGGAGAGAGAAAAAAATTAGTATCTGGGGCCGTCAGCACGGGGTTTGCACAATCCCGCACGGAGACGCGCCACAGCTCCCTCCTCAGCGACGCGGGGCAGCCCCTGACCTGGAAAACC